TGGTAATTTTGACTATTTTTCACTGTTCCAAATGGAGTTCGGGTGCTTTTGGAATAGCACTCAGTGTGCCAATTACCACTGGAATTACCACTGCTGGTTTGTGCCATAGTCGTTGAATTTCGATTTTTAAGTCCTGGTATCTTGCGATTTTTTCATGTTCCTTCCCGGCGACCCTGCTATCACCTGGTATTGCGATGTCTATGATTATTATGATTATTATGTCTATGATATTATTATTATTATTATCCCATATATTTTCAACATGGGAGGGTCTCTTTTTTCTTTTCTTTTATACACAAAACACCCCCCCTTTTTTCTATGGTTAGTGCTGGAGTCTATCTGTCTGGTGTGTGTGTGTTTGTGTTTGTGTGTGTGTGTGTTTGATCCTTGTTGACGAATGAAAATAAATGTTTTTTTTTAAATAAAACCAATAGTGAGTCTAACTAAACTCTTGGTAATACCTGTGAAAAGCCGAGTTGGGAAGCATTTATAATGCTAGTCTAAGTAATTGGCTGGATTTAATGTTGTAGTCAATGGAATATATAGGTTAATGATTAGTGGCTGGAAACTGTCTTTGCAGTGTTCTGTGGAAGTGATTGCCACTTTTGCTTATGCATCGTTTGGGGGATTGTGACATACAACCCACAAGGTTCAATGAAATTTCTCCCTGAGGTATGTGGGTGGAACTGTGAGCTCCAGCTAATGTGAGTGTATAGCATGGAAAGGTTTCAATGTTTGAGGAAGTCAGAGCTAATTGAAAATAGGTGAAAGCAGCCAAAATGCCTTCCCTTCTCTTCTCTTCTCTTCCCTTCCCTTCCCTTCCCTTCTCTTCTCTTCTCTTCTCTTCTCTTCTCTTCTCTTCTCTTCTCTTCTCTTCTCTTCCCTTCCCTTCCCCTCCATTCCATTCCATTATTCCATTTCATTCTATTCTATTCTATTCTATTCTATTCTATTCTAATTTCATTCTGTTCTGTTCTTCATTCCAATATTCTCTTCTCTTCTCTTCTCTTCCCTTCCCTTCCCTTCCCTTCCCTTCCATTCCATTCTATTCCATTCCATTCCATTCCCTTCCCCTACTCTATTCTACTCTACTCTAATTCTTATTCTTTTCATTCTAATTCCTATTTTAATTTCTATTCTATTTTATTCTATTCTATTCTCATTCCTGTTCTGTTCTGTTCTATTCTATTCTCATTCCTGTTCTGTTCTCATTCCTGTTCTATTCTATTCTATTCTATTCTACATTCCAATATCTTTTCTGTCCTGTCCCGTCCCGTCCCGTCCCATCCCGTCCCGTCCCATCCCATCCCATCCCATCCCATCCCATCCCATCCCATCCCATCCTATCCTATCCTATCCTATCCTATCCTAACCTATATCTAATTTTTTTATACCTCTTTGATAACACAGTTGGGAAGGGTCCTGCAAAAGTCATCCTGTTAGACCCTCCTCCCTATTAGGCGCACGTGTCATACGCAACTTGGCAATATGACAGTTTGTAAAAACAATCAACAGATGGCCAATTCCGTTATGTAGTTCATTCCATTTTATTTTGGTTCGATTTCTGTAGCCACCCGTGTCAACATGTGACTCTGGGTGTTGCACATCATGACACATATAAATAATTATAGACAATTTAAACAGTACAAAATATGACACCAAATAAATAAAGTTGTTACTACGGATGTTAATATAACCAAGAAACCAGGGCCTAAATATATTCAGGGCCTCAGAACCAGACATGCAACCAAGTTCTCATAGCCTTATGAAAGGGCAACAGGTAGTCCTGGACTTATAACAGTCCACTTAGTAACCATTCAAAGTTACCACGGAAGTGAACAAAGTAACTTATGACTGTTTTCCCCACTTACGATCGTGGCAGCATCTCCATGGTCACGTCAGCAAAATTAAAATGCATGACAACTGACTCGTATTTATGACGGTGGCAATGTTGTGACGTGATCCCCTTTTGCGACTTTCTGACAAGCAAAGTCAACTGGGAAAGCAGATTCGCTTAACAACCGTGTGACCCCACTTTACAACTGCAGCAATTCACTTAACGACCGTGGGAGGAGAGGTCGTAAAATGGGGCAAACTGACTTAACCCCTGTCTTGCTTAGCAACATCAATTTCGGTCTCAATTGTGGTTGTAAGGATTGTGATAGTACACAAAAAATATGGGGCATGGTGTTTAGAGAAATTAGAGCACGCTTGAATGTCAATTTAGACATGTCACCAAGGATTGATATTACTGTTGCTGGGGGAAAAATAGAATATAAATGAAACCAAAAAAAAAGGAATTGATTGTAAATTTGATAATGGCAGCTAGATTAGGGATGACTAAATATTGGGGATGAAATTGGGATAGTCAAAGAAATGAGTGGCATAATGAAATCTGGAGTATGGCAAGAAACGATAAATTAACTACGGAAATTAAATTTTAAAAAGGGATGATCAAAGCAAACAATTATAATGAAATATGGGGGTATTTTATAAAATCAGTGTTGGTAGAAGGGAAAGGGAGTCAACCTACTCAAGAATATATGTTTCCTTGGGGAGAATAATGGCACAATTGGAATATGTTGTATAACTTTTAATTGTTATATAGACAAAGAAATATAAGGGGGGGCAAAGTCTCTGGGGTGTGTGGGTGCACTCTGTAATATTAGTTTATGTTTTTTTTTCCTTTTTTTCCTTTCTGTTTTTTTTATTTAGATGTACATGTATTATGTTTGTAGTATTTGCAATTAGAAAAATAAAATATATAAACAATTTTTAGAAACGTGGTTCTAAGGACTACCTGTATATAAAATGCAGCAGTGGTGGGATTCAGCCAGTTCGCACCTATTCGGGAGAACCAATTGTTAACTTTCTAAGCAGTTCGGAGAACCGGTTGTTGGAAGAAATCTCCTTTTGTTGTTTTTTCCACTTTACAGGGCTAATCCTGTAAGGAAGGCAGGAAGGAAACATTCTGGTGTTGTTTCTAGCCTCATCTTTATTGCCCTGTTTACAGAAACTGCCTCTCCAGTTAACCCTTATTACCATTGTAACAACTAAGGCGAAGTGCCCATCGACCTGAGTGACATTGACCTGGCCACGCCCACATGATCACATGACCACTGAGCCCCGCCTACCCAGATGGTCATTAGGGCAGAGAACTGGTTGGTAAATTATTTGAATCCCACCACTGGAATGCAGCCATCACATCTAGGTAAAATGCTGGTTTATGCTCTTTGGGATGACTGCTGCTCATATCAGAACTTCAGAATGAGGAAAGGAGAGAAGAGAGATGGGAGACCTTAGGAATAAGGCTACCTTTAGCAAAACCCCTTTGCAGATTATAATCCTCTTTCTCCTCTTTCTTTCTCTTCAGATGCATCGTGGATAATCGAGTGACACGGGTCGCTTGGCTCAACCGAAGCAGCATTCTTTATGCGGGCAACGATAAGTGGTGCTTGGACCCCCGGGTGGAGCTAATCGCCAACACCAAAACCCATTACGCCATCCGGATAAACGACGTGGATGTGTACGACGAGGGGCCGTATACTTGCTCAGTACAGACGGACAATCACCCCAAAACCTCGCGGGTCCATCTCATTGTGCAAGGTAAGGCTTCTGTTCTGACCCCCTCCTCCATCCAGTAACGCACTTAACTAACTTAAGAACTGCAACGATTCACTTAATAACTGTGGCAGGAAAAGTCGTAAAATGGGGCAAAATGCACTTAGCAAATTTGGGTTACCTGTACTGTCAGTCTCTGAAGATTGCCTTCCCCTGTTGTGGTCAATAAGATTTATACCCAGTTCAGTTTATCTGTGGTTAATGATGGAGCATTAACTGCTTTTGTGAAATGGACCAAGATTCGTGCCTGACCTTTGCAAGTAGCAGATATTTAAATATTTGTGAAATATTTTGAAACGTGAGGGTTTACTGTTCAAGCAGGGGCTTGGTCTAGAAGACCTCCAAGGTCCCTTCCAACTCTGTCATTTTGTCATTCTGAGATGATGGGGATAAGGATAAGAATGATTAGGATAAGGATTTCTTCTTACCTTACCATCGATCATTTATCTTGGGCTTTTCTTGGTAGCCGTTTTAGTAGAGCTAGGAAATTGAGTCTTGGGAGTTTGAACACGAGCTAATTTTCAAATGCCGATGGATACATTGACTTGGAAACAAACTGGGTTAAGAAAGACATTGGTCTTGTACACCAAGTTGCCCTGAGCTAACCTGCAGTTGATAAGCTGGACTATATGTCAAACATCGGGGAAATCAGGAGATTCAGGCACTTCAAAAGAGTATAAAAATTTATTGTAAGGTTAAGCTATCTACAAAAATCTGAACTACTAACGGTCAAGGGAAAATAGTGGGAGTTAAGAAAGGAATTCAGGGTGGGCTGGACTTAGATGTCTTGTGGGTGCATAGAGACTCATGACTGATAACACGTTTGACCCCTTCCTCGAGCTCAGCCAGATCATCTCCTACACCATGTTTGTCATTGACCAACCAATGAATGCCAACAAATTCCCAGGCATTTTTCTACCCTCTTCTTCCACTCCCTTCTGTTGTGGATTGTTGGCCACTGGCCCTTCCAGCAGCCAAATCAGAGGAGGAGGCGTGGGAGTTGGAGTCAGCATCAGGGCAACCTTGGAGCTCCAAGGGGGAAGAGGGAATGGAGCTGGCAGAGAGAGAGAGAGAGAGAGAGAGAGGGAGGGAGGGAGGGAGAGAGAGAGAGAGGGAGAGAGAAAGAGAGAGAGAGAGAGGGAGAGAGAGAGGCAGCACCTGGGCTGGCCGTCAACCCCCAGATAGAGAGTCAACAGCCCCAGGTCTGGAGGTGGCTGATGAGGAAGAGGAGGAACAGCTGGGTGTAGTGGATGCACAGAAGGCAGAGGAGAGGAGAGCAGTGGAAATCTATGGGCAGATTCTTGGGACAGAAGAGCCACCATTGCTAACAAGACCCTACCTCTGGGGATAAAAGGCAGGGGGTGGAGATGAATAGATGTGGCAGACAACCATTCATCTTCCAGTCGCAGGGCCTTCTTAGCCTTTTTGCGGGGGTTGCTAATAAAGGAATCTTTTGAGTTCACGTCAGACGGTTTGCCATGTTTAGGGAGCTGGTTCAGAACACCTTCCTTTATAGCAATCAAGGGAGGAAAAAAATGGAGCAAATTTTCTTCTCCGAGCATATACATCTCTTTACTCATGAAACAACTAACAGTTGCGTTTCCAATCTTGGCATTTTCTGTTATCTTTCAAATGTATGGCGTCTGTTTGCAATTCATGCATCAAAGCTGATCACATTAAAAAAAAATCAAAGCTATAATCATGGAAGCTGGAGAGTAGTAATTACTTACCCATCCTTTCTGGACCTCTGGTATTTAAAATCAATCCTGCCTCAGTTGTTTTAGTGTTTTATTATTTCGCTGCTTCTCTTTGTGAATAATTGTAGAAGGAAGATATACTGTTTCCTCAAGAGAGCAACACATTCTGTTAGTGGAAGGTATTACAAGGTCTCATTCTTTGAAGGAAGAGGGTAACTAGTTATCTAGGCAGAAAGTTGCTGTGGCTTGTCTTTGAAGTTAATTGGAATTGGGAGCATTCAGAATATTGTAATAACTAAGAAAGGTATATTTGTTTGTGACTTTCAAAGTCTCGTATATAAATTGTGGCCATCTCTGAAGCAAAAAAATAAACTATGGAAGCAAAAAAATAATAACTGTTTAATTTATTAAGAGAACTATTTTTTTTGTTTTAATGGCAGAGTTCACAAATCTTCCAGGCATTTGCAAACCTGTTGTCTCAGGTGCCACGCAACTTATCTAATTGTGCTGTGTTCAGTAACAGATGGATGAATAAATTTCAGGCTACAAAGACCGGGAAGACAGTTTTATTTATTGTTCCTTGCCTATTGAGAGAAATGTTGCCAAATGAAAGCAACTACCTGCATCATTAGAGACGCGCTCTGAGAATTTCTAGCGAAAAACTGTCACGAATCCTTTTCCTCCCAGGCAAACTGTCTAAACTTTGCTGTTTCTTGATCCTCTGAAATGCAGCCCATCCCTGCTGAGAATCCAGGCTACATTCCACCACAGTAAAGTAGCCTTTAGCACAATGTACAGTCCCAGGTCATGTATTATCTTAGGCCAAACTTTTTAATGTGTATTGTGCATCAGACACATATGTCAAATTGCGTGTTGTGGTCTGCCAGCCCCTGGCCCCTCTAGCAGCGGAATCAGAGGAGAAGGAGACCTGGGAGTCAGGGTCAACATCAAGGCAACCTGAGAGCTCCGAGGGGGAAGAGGGAGAGGGAGAGGTAGAGGTAGAGGGAGAGGGAGAGGGAGAGGGAGAGAGAGAGAGAGAGAGAGAAAGAGAGGTGGAGCTTGGGTTGTCTCAGATGGAGAGTCAACAGCCTCCAGATCTGGAGATGGCTGAGGAGGAAGAGGAGGAACATCTGGGTCCAGTGCCTGATGTGTGGATGTGCAGAAGTCACAAGAGAGGAGAGCAGTGGAAATCCGTGGGCTGGTCCTTGGGCCAGAAGAGCCAATGCTGCTAGTGAAGCCCCACCCTATCTCTGGGGATAAAAGGTAGAAAGTGGAGATGAATACGTGTGGCAGACAACTATTCATCTCCCTGCCAGACAGACTTGTTAGCCTGCAGTGAGAAAAAAAAACCCCTCCTTGTTGAGGCTCCTATACTCCTAATATAGGAATCATAGATTCAACTTCAAAGGGTTTGTCGTGTTTGGGGAGCTGAGTCAGAAAACTGAGATTGTTAGGGGGTTCAATGGCCTAGCAGTGAAGATGCTAGGCTTGTCAACCAGAGGTTGACAAGCACCGTGTAATTCTGTCCTTGCTCCAGCTCCTGCCAACTTAGCAGTTCGAAAGCATGCAAATGTAATTAAAAAAATAGGTACCACTTTGATGGGAAGATAACAGTATTCTGTGCACTTTGGTGTATAGCCATGCTAGCCACATGACCACAAAAATGTCTTTGGACAACATTAGCTCCCTTGGCTAAGAAACTGAGATAAGCAACACACCCTAGAGTCTGACAGGGGTAAACAAGGGAAAACATTACCTTTTACCTTTAATAAATATTTAAGATGGTGTCCATGGCATCAGATGTTCCGACCTAGGCCTTCCAAGAGCAAGAAAGAAACTCCTTGTCCCAACAAAAAACCCTTTTGTTATTTTACTGTGAATTCTGCTTATTCACATCCAGCAAAGTCTTTCAAAGGAGGATTTACAGTCACAGACCTTATCTGGCTTGGAGAGCTGCGAGGCCGAGATCTGCAGAACTTGGCAAGGAGTCTCGGAAGATCACGAACCAATTAAGTGAACTAATTGTCACCTGCAAACTCCACTTCCCTTTCGTTCTTTTTTTAGTTCCTCTGGACGGGACATTCATTTTCCACCTGTGGCCTTACTCCCAAGTCGACCCTTGTTCCTTAGCTGTTCCCTTCGTCTGGCAACTGTGCACATGCACACACTGGGAACAGGCTCCAGCTGTTTGTCTGCCTCACTGATGTCTGACTGTGAAGGCAGCTGATAACTGTCAGACGGCCTTGGCCCCCTCTCTGCCTCCGACACAGAGCCTTCATCAGAGCCTTCCCCAGACTCCAGGATTGGCCCATGTTCCTCCCCAACCTCCTCACTGTCCGAATCTGCTGCCAGCTCTGCTGGCCGCTGGGGGACCACAACATCAGAACTCAAAGTGGGGAAAAAGCATGCCCTTAAATATTCTGTAGAAGGATATAAAAACAAGTCTGCAGGAACCTTGTTTCGTTTCCAAAACAATACATAAACGTCATCCACATATTGATTGTAATAGTTGTGCTGCATTATCTCTTTGCTTTGCAAAATCTGGTAGCGATATTTACAAAGTGATATTTGTCTTTTCAGTGAAAGATGCAGGGGTGGGGAGAGCATAATTGCCTGATAATAATCTTTCATGGTTCCGAAAATATACCTCACCATCTGCTGTGGATGAAATAACGGGCTGTTCCCTGCATGATTCCTCAGTGGAAAGTATATTTAAGGGGATATGTTATCCTTCAACCCCCCCCCCCACTTTTAACCACCCCATTCATGCACACCATAAGCAGGAGAGGCACTGTATCTCTCCCCCACCCCTCGAATTTAAGAGGGTTGGGGAGTCAGAAGCACAACAGACATTTTAGTGCTATCAAATGTACCTCCTTTCCTTTAATAGCCATCAAACAATAGCGGAGCACACAAGCCCTTCATTCTGCAGGGGATTAGGAGAAAATGATGTCTATTTCTGCTGGTGACCAGCGGCAGTGACATATTTTATTGTTATTTTTACACAGTTATTCACACAGATTTGTTATTGGTTGGTGGTTTGGTCTTCATCGTAAGGCTGGAATTTTGACACTCGTGAGCTTCCTTGAATGCTTGTCAGGTGAAATAAATCAGGAAGCAAGGAGGTTGAAATGAATACAGATTTATTGTGGACTAACACGCTCTGCAAGAATCTGAACTACTGACGGTCAAAGCCAATTAGCGGTAGATAAAAAGTCAGCGGACATCGAGGTGGGCTGGATTATATCTCTCGTGGGTGCCAAGCAATAGCACTTGCACTTATATACT